TACGAGCGTGAGCCAACGCGCCCGGCCAAGAAAAATATTTTTAAAAAATTTAATGTAGCCTAAATATGTGGTGTACAGTAATGTAATGTACAGTAATGTCCTAGGCCTTCACATTCACTCACCAATCACTCACTGAATCACCCAGAGCACCTTCCAGTCCTGTAAGCTCCATTCATGGTCAGCACACTATATAAGTATACCGTTTTTTATCTTTGATAGCATATTTTTACTGTATCTTTTCTATGTTTAGACATGGTTAGATACACAAATACTTATCAATTGCCTACTGTATTCAGTACAGTACCCTGCTGTACAAGTTTGTGGCCTAGGAGCAATAGGCTATACCATAAAGCCTAGGTGTACAGTAGACAGACTATACCTAGGTTTGGGTAGGTACACTCTATAATGTTTGCACAGTGACAAAATCACCTAACCGCATTTCTCAGAACATATCCCCATTGTTAGCTGAGGCATGACTATACACACACAGAGGTCTCTGGCTGGCAAGGGAATACAATGATATAGGTGAGTCTTTGGCCTAAAAACCCGGTTCTAGAAGAATCCAGTGAACAAAGATAGACAATATGAGGAAGTACTTTCGCCTGAGGTAGGATGACCTAAAGTCAAGAACCAGAACAGACCTGCCTTGCCTCTTCTTCCTTAATTTCTTACCTGAATCTTGGCTCTTCCCTCCCCAACAGACCAACAGAGGAAAGATAGTAGCATAGTAGCATAATCCAAGTAATAACCAATAGTAGCATAACCAATAATCAATAGTAGCATATCCAAGTATAACCACTGTATTTTCTCCTGTGTTTGCATGTTCTCAGGTCAAGAGTGATATATATATTTTTTTAAGGACAAAATTTGAGCATATTTGTAGGCTGAGGGGAAGGAGTTGGGGAAGAAAAAGGTGAAAATACAGGAAACATAGAGTAGTTGATGAAGCTACCGCGGAGCAACCGTAATTAGCCTTGTCCACCTGGCCTCGATGGCCGCTGTTGAGGAAAATCATGTCACAGAACAGTTTGGCACAAGTGGCTGGATGTAGACGGACAGGGCTGGTGGTTTGCAGAGCGGATGCTTCCAATGGACAAAGAGGAGATATTATCAAAGTGTCATTTTAAAAAATTTTAAATGTGAACTTTTTTTAAAGGCTAGTCAAGTAAAGCAGTGGGAAGGGAGAAGGAACAAAGAAATCTGTAGCTGGTTGTGATAAATTAGTTGTAAACACCATTAGCCTTGGGGCTGAGTAGCATAGTGGCTCATGCCTGTAATCCTAGAAATTTGGGAGGCTGAGGCAGGAGGATCCCTTCAGGTCAGGAGTTTGAGACCAACCTGAGCAAGAGCAAGACCCCATTGCTACTAAAAATAGAAAATATTAGCCGGCCAACGAAAAATAGAAACAAAAAATTAGCCGAGGGTGTTGGCACACACCTGTAGTCCTAGCTACTGGGAGGCTGAGGCAAGAGGATTGCTTGAGCCCAGGAGTTTGACATTACTGTGATCTAGGCTGGCGCCAGGGCACTCTAGTCCAGGCAACAGAGTGAGACTTTGTCTCAAAAAAAAAAAAAAAAAAAAAAAAAGCCTGTAGTCCCAGCTACTTGGGAGGCTGAGGCAGTAGGATTGCTTGAGCCCAGGAGTTTGAGGTTGCTGGGAGCTAAGCTGACACCACAGCACTCTAGCCTGGGTAACAGAGTGAGACTCTGTCTCAGAAAAAAAAAAAGCCAACAGAAACTGATCAAAGTCCCACAGGGCAATAAAAACCAACTGCAGTTTTCTTTCCGATCAGACAGAAATCATTTGCGTGTCTTTAGACAAAAGTCTGCAAATGAACAACATGTAACTCTGTAGTATCTGGGCAGTTATCAATAGTAAATAGCAAGGCCAGGCAATGGTTCACGTCTGTAATCCTAGCACTCTGGGAGGCCAAGGCGGGAGGATGGCTTGAGATCAGAAGTCAAGACCAGCTTCAGCAAGAGCGAGACCCGTCTCTACCAAAATATAAAAAATTAGTCTCTGTCAAAAATAGGAAAAATTACCTGGGCATGGTGGCTCGCACCTGTAGTCCCAGCTACTTGGGAGGCTGAGGCAGGAGGATCGTTTGAGCCTGGGAGTTTGAGGTTGCTGTGAGCTAGGCTGAGCCATGGCACTCTAGCCAAAAATAGAGCGAGACTGTCTCAAAAAAAAATAGTAAATAGCAAAGTCAAACTTAGATTCATTCCTCTGATAACCAAAAACCCTAGGTGAGCCTGTAAATCATGGTAAACCACATTGAAAGGACATGCAGTCCTCTTGCTTTGTTTCCAAGTGTTAGATAGTTTTCCTTAACAGCATTGGAGTTACTGTCAGGGAAGTGGGTCAGATGCAGACTGGAGAGGAGGTCAAGGAAGCAGAGGAGGCTGATGGACTGAGACAAAAGGAAGTCAAGGGTGGCTGGTCTAGATGAGGACTGGGCGCAGGTGAGTGATGGAGAGGGAGCAAAGGTGGGAAGGACCAGGATTTCTGCAAGAAGGAGAGAGTGGTGGAGCGGTTCCCAGGGTTTTTGGCATCCAGTGTGTGGCCACAACAGAGGACTGCCAGAACAGACAGCAGCGAACGACAACTGGGCTCCAAATCCAAGGAGCTAGCAAGTTGGATGCTGGATGCATTGTCCACAGGGACGTTTGACTTCTTGTCTCTTCTGAATCAGGCAGGATTGGATCAGAGAATCTGAGCCACTGTGAATGAGAAAGAAAAAAGGACTTATTTCAGGGACAATGAAGAATCACACAGTTGTGGGAACTGGTGGAAAAGAAGTTATTGCCTCTGTGAAGTCTCTGTAGGTTGCCACACTGGCAGTTGGGAACGAAAGCTGGGCTTGAATGGGGCCGAGGACAGGTGGGGACTTTGAGGATGACTGGAACCCATGAGGACAAGTAGAACCGAGGCCTGACTCTCACCACTTCCAACACAGATGCTCTGAATGCCCCACGGGAGACGCTGCAGCCTTCACCTGGAGCTGCACACGCTTGACCCAGACCTTGGAGAAGCTATAGGAGTTCTGGCGGGGCTGGAGGAGCCGCAGCCCGGGGTGCATCATGCCAGTGAGCTAGCATCTCAGTAACAGCACACATGAGCTGCCTCAGCGTCTGCTGCCTGCACCTTGCCTTCCAAGCATAAAAAAATGCTGCTTCACTCACATCTTCCAAATATTCTGCAAATTTCTCTTGTAGCAAACACTAACTGGGAATATACAGGGACAGGAATTCTGGGCAACGTCATTCCAACTCACCTAAGCTGACACAGAAGGAAGCCAAAGCCACACACACTCCATACCAAGCACAGTGCCTAGGAACAGACCCTAGACAGAGGGCACTTAATAAATTTTCTATCAAAGGTACCTTCAAAACAAAACAAACTGTGATACCTGCAACAACATGGGTGAACCTCAGGAACATCGTGCTAAGCAATAAAAACCAGATCCACAAGAGCACACCCTGTATGATTCCATTTATGTGAAGTTCTAGATCAGGCAAGCTAATCTACAGTGATAGAAATCAGAACAAAGTTGCCTGGGACAGGGGTGGCGTTGGGAGTCCCCTCCCTAGGGAAAAGGCGCGAGGAAACTTTGGGCAGTAGTGCAAATGCTCTGCATTTTGATAGAGGTGTGAGTTACGCAAGTGTATGCATTTGTCAAAACTCCCTGACTGTACTCCTAAGATCTGTGCATTTTGTTGTACGTAAATTATACCTTCAGTTTTCAAAAATAAAAAGTAAAGAAAAATGTTGCCCTTAGAACTAATGACTCATTACTAAGCAACCGAGGAAAACATACTTCGTTTTGTGACCTTAAATCTGTCTAGCTGACCATTTTTAAAGACTGGCCTCATCAATGTGCATCCTCACCCAAAGACTATCGAATGATCTGATAGGAGTCCCAGAAGAGCTTGCAACTCCAAGGTTCCTCTCCATCAGCTATAGGAGAAGTCAGAGAGGAATCGGGGCAGGTAGGAGCACTAGGCAGAACTAATAAAAAGAGAAGGCAGATAAACTCAATGTTGAACTGTAGAAATGAAATTTTTATTCCTTTTCTCCAAAATTTACACTCACAGTCTGTTCAACAGAGACTTAATTTCTAAATTGCATCTAGCTCTCAGTGTGTGTATGTGTAGGTGACAGAGAGAGAGACCGGGAGAGAGAGAATCACAGACATTTCAAATAGTGGGAATTATAAATGTGAAGCTATAGGACATAGTTTCACTGTACCTATAAGAAATGGATTCCACAGCCCTGCTGGGACCTGAATCTCTGTCCTGCTTTCCCCGAGTCCTCTAGGCTGGCCTCATTATCATGATATTTGCATTTCTCTCAATACCATCAAATAACAAAGCGATCTCCTTTCCCACCAATTGGCTGTTTGGTGACACCCATTCACCAGGGAGCAGTTGCCTCTTCTGTGACGATTTATCCCAGCACAGGGACAGCAACTGAAGGCATAAATGTAAGATGGAAGCAGAGAGGGGAGGTTTGCCCAGAGATCAGATGGGGAGCCCCAGGGGAGACCCTGAAAAGGAAAGAGCCCCAAAAGGAGGGGCAGGGGGCTAGAGCTGGTCTTAAAATCCTTTCCTGTCTAAGCTCTGCTCTCAGCAAGGCGAACAGACTGAAAGAGCAGAGACCCTTAGAGATCCTCCCTGGTGCCTTTGCTTACTTCGTCCTTTTACAGCTCCAGTTAATTTTTAACTTCCTTTGGGTGAGATAACAAACAATGACAGAAACTCAGACCCAGGAGGCAGCCTGTCCTCACCCCAGGGCTAGTCTCTACAGCTCTTGCTCTTTGTCCCCAAGTCTCCACCCTCTCCTTTGTCTCCAAGCCCCAGGGGAAGGCTAGAGAAGGTCACGTGGCAGGGACGGGGCGTGTTCCTGGAAGTCCCCAGGGCCCCCTGCAGGGACCCAGATTCCTAGTATTTCAGGCTGCGGCCCCGTTTCTCTCATTTCCCTTTTGTTTCTGTTGGTGGTGTGGCGGTGTGTCCACAACCCGGGATTCCCTCACCCTCAGACTCCGGAATCCAATTTCTTAGCTTTCAATGTTTTTAAGGTCAGTGGAAACTTTTTTTAAAAAGCAACGTTAAGCTAATATATTCTTACCGCAGAAAGGAGCCTTTGTTCTATTTCTCTCTAAAACTGATGCAGGCTAGTAGTTCTCAGAAGTTGAAAGATATATGTATAATCGAGGTGCTTGTAACAACTGGTCACTAAGAATCATTTCTTTACCTTTTTCCACTAATGACCTCCTTCTTAAAGATCCCCCCTTGACACTTTAAATAAAATGTAAAGAATTATTTCCCGGAATGTTGTTTTTACTGTGGTAAAACAGCTACAGCCCAACCGGGTCCCTTGCCCACTGCCCAGTAAAAGCCAATACACTGAGACAACAGGTGGTGCCGCAGTGACAGTTTCATCTTGCAAGGCACTAGGCAAGGAGATGGGAGTCGTTTCTCAAATTCACCCCCTCGAGAGTGGGGGCTAAGGTTTTTAAATGTGGTTTGGTGAACAAAGGGCTGGGGAATTGGGTCTGCTGATTGGCTGGGGATGAACTCATAGGGTTGGGAAGCAGAAATCATCTTAGCTGGTAAATTTCCTTGGTAGGGGGTACCAGGGATCTTGTTGAATCTTGTTAGATCTGTTCCCACATGTGTCCACAGGGCCAGTTGATATCAGTGGATTCCCCACACACACACACACACAAATGCAGAGTCTGAAAAACATCTCAAAGACCACTCTTTGGCTTCACAATGGCAATACTATCTGTAGAAGCTCTTGGGGAAAGCACAAATCTTGCACCTGTCAGGGAGGATGGTGCCATGTAAGCAGTGAGCAGCTACAGTAGTAAGGAAGTTGGGGAACAACGCCCAGTTAACTTCTGGCTGTATCTATACTTTTATAAAAATCAGACTTTTATTACTATTTCTACCTTATGGCTTTGCATTCTTTTAATATACTCGGTTTCAAAATTGCATGGCGAATACTTCATTAACACTTTTCTCCCTTTCTTGCCTGAGATGTTAAACCTCAGAGTCAGCCTGGGTACTGTTATATGGGAAAATGGCTCTTCACCACCACGCTCCTGTGCTCAGCACAGTACGTCGTGTCCAGTAAATGTCAGATAAATATTTGCTGAGGAATGAATGAAGAATCATTAGGAATTGATTGCATAATCAAAGTGCACCTTTTCAATCTTTGCTTAGCTAATTAACATTGTTAGAACTAGAAGGAGCTTTAGAAGCCTGAAAAGCCTTTAGATCCCAGGCCTTGAGATTCTGAAAAAGAGATAGATCGCTTAGGGTTGGCCCTGACTGGTCACAGGTTCAGAGTTGACACATCTCCTGGTTATTTTATATCTGGAAGAATTAAGTGATTGCAGTATGCTCAGCTTAAAAAGTTGTCCTGAACCCGGGATGCAGTGGAAGGGATTGGCATTAGGAACATCCTGTCCACCACTTTCTGCTCTGGGCTAGAGGAAGGCCAGAAACATTTGGCAAAATGTTCAAAGCATCCCTCCCAGAGCCCTGGCTGCTCAGCTGAGCTTGGCCCTTGGGGTCACACAGACCTAAGTCCACATTCTGTCTGCGTACTGAGTTGTACAGCCTGATTTTAAAAGGAGACAGTGTGTGGCATGGGAGCATTAAGCTGCACGGAAAACTCAGGCATTTGGCTTAAGCAGTGGGGTTTAGCTGATAGGAGAGCTGCCCCAGTGAAGACCAAAGGCGAGGCGATGGCCAGATGGCCAGTGAGGTGAGTGACAACGTTGCACAGGGAAGCTGGACACGGTGGCTCATGCCTGTAATCCCAGCACTTTGGGAAGCTGAGGTGGGAGGACCACTTGAGGCCAGGAGTTCAAGACCAGTCTGGGCAACATAGTGAGACCCCATCTCTAAAAAAAAAAAAAAATCTTTAAAAGTTACACAGGGAACGGGACAGGCAGTTTGCACAAGTCAGTTCTAAGAGCATGGTATGGGATTGCTGGGCCCCCAAGTCCCTTTGTTGAGGCTGATAGTACAGTCTCAAGTTCATCATCAGGTTGTATTTCTGCTGATTTGGGCCCATTTTTCTGGAAGCAGTTGCTCTGTGCCCCATTAAGGGCCCCAAATGCTTGTAATTTTATATCTTTAGGTTCAATACCCTACAGCAAGCAAGTCCAAATATACATGCTCAAGGTACTAAAAATCCATTTATTAAACCTTAGCACTATTGATATTTGGGACCAAATCATTGTTTCTTATGGGGGGCTGTCTTACAGTATCGCAGGGTATTTTCTCACTCAGAAGGGCCAAGTCTACTTTCAGGGCTTACATGGCTTCTTTTTTTTGAGACAGAGTCTCACTTTGTTGCCCAGGTTAGAGTGAGTGCCGTGGCATCAGCCTAGCTCACAGCAACCTCAAACTCCTGGGCTCAAGCAATCCTCCTGCCTCAGCCTCCCGAGTAGCTGGGACTACAGGCATGCGTTACCATCCCTGGCTAATTTATATACATATATATTAGTTGGCCAATTAATTTCTTTCTATTTCTAGTAGAGACGGGGTCTTGCTGTTGTTCAGGCTGGTTTCGAACTCCTGACCTTGAGCAATCCACCCGCCTCGGCCTCCCTGAGTGCTAGGATTACAGGTGTGAGCCACCATGCCCAGCCATGGCTTCTTCTCTTAGTCAATTCTCCAGACTGTGGGCCATGCCACCGGTGAGGCCCAAATGGGCCCGTGGAGTGTCCATCTGGGGCACTGTAGATGGAGCTTAGACATGTGGACTACACTCTTCCCCCAGATCCTGCAAATGTTAGACAAGGGCCTGCTCCTCCTTCTCAAGGCACCAGCTCTCCAACAAAATGTAGCTGAGAAGAGATCATTAGCAGTCCCACGTCCTCTGTGCACCTTCTCCACCCTCACCACCTCCCCCAACCTCTGCAGAGGGTGGTGATGAGCACTCTCCCGGAGTAGAGAACCAGGAGGGCAAAGCAGAGAGGATTTTGAGAGCCCAGAGAATCCCCCGCCGTGCAAGCAGGAGCTAGGCAGCTTTGCACCTCTCCGCTGCAGCAGAGAGCATGACCCCATTATGGGTGAAAGAGTCCCCAGAAAAACCCCAGCATTCCTGTAGATTTGTTTTCCTCTGTTTGGGCCATGCACCCCACAGTCAGGCATTGTCTAGTGAGCCCTCTCCTCCTCTGTGGAGCGGTGGAGCTGATCCCTCCCCAGGTAGAATGAATCACTCTCTTCATTTCGAACCCACACAGCCTGTTACTCACACCTTGACTAATTACTGCCCTAGTCGGTGCACCTTGCGCGCAGGTGAATCTGCTGGAATGAGCTCCTCCAAGGCAGAGGCAGCTGACTCACTGGCTTCCCCAGCCCGCCCAGCTCAGCCTCACACGTGGAGCAGCTGCTCTGGCTTTACCCCCGAATCAATTAACTTTAAGATTTGACCTGGTTGGGATTAAAGTCACTGAGATGTATGAGAAAACCAGTCCAACCAGTCCCCCCTTCATGCTTTTCCCTATGGCGCTTAGATCTCAAAGCTAGCTCATTTTGTCCACTTAATGTCCTGCCATCAACATTCACTTCCTGCTGGGCCCACAGAGCTTCTTTACCTTGTACAGACTGGGAGTTGTAGGGATTATATTAGTTCCTGGGACTGCTGTAACAAAAAAACACAAATGTGGTGGGTTACAACAGAAATTTATCCTGGTTGGTTCTGGAGGCCAGCAGTCCACAATCAAGGTGTTGGCAGGCCCACTCTCTCTGGAGTCTCTAGGGAAGGATCCTTCCTTGCCTCCTCCCAGCTTCTGGGGTGTTCCTTGGCTTATGGAGATGCACAAGCTCTTGGCGGTTTCCTGACCTCACATCGCATCTCCCCACAGAAGGCTTTGCAATCTGGACTGCTTAATTCGGATCCCAGCTCCATCATATGTACAACCTCAGATAAACTACTTAACCCAGGATACCTTCAAATGCTACTTTACCCCTTCACATAAAATTTAAGAACCTTGCAACAGTATATTTCCATTTCTTCTCTCCCATCCTTTGGGCTATTGTGATAATACATTTTACTTCTATATATTTTGTAAACCCCATAAGACATGTTTTACTTTAAACAACATTAAATTTAGAAAAATTTTGGCTATTATTTCTTCAACTTTTTTTTCGAGACAGAGTCTCACTCTGTTGCCCAGGCTAGAGTACCATGGCATCAGCCTAGCTTACAGCAACCTCAAACTCCTGGGCTCAAGTGATCTTCCTGCCTCAGCCTCCTGAGTAGCTGGGACTACAGGTGTGCACCATAACGCCCTGCTAATTTAACAAAAAAATTTTTTGGTAGAGATGGAGTCTTGCTGGTCTGGAACTCCTGGCCTCGAGTGATCCTCCTGCCTCAGCCTCCCAAATTCTGGGATCAGAGGCATAAGCTGCTGTGCCCTGCCAGGAAGCCAGGAATTCTTGATAAATGTGAGACTCCTCCTTTACTTTATTACCCTCTCAGATACCTGCAGCTCAAAGGAGATAAAGTTGTAATAGATACCAAAGTTTATGTTGGAAAATCCAATTTCTAGTGTTGGGTACTTTCTCTCCTCACCCCCCTCTGGATTGTCACTCCTAAATTGCTCTCAGATGAATCACTTTCTTTGTCTCCACTGCATGCCTCTCGTCCAACTGGCTGTCTCCTACCTGGACTCCTGCAGGAGGAGCCTCCTGCCCAGACCCTCTGCTTCCATTCTGGCCCTTCTAATTCATCTTCTTCACTGCAGCCCAAGTGATACTTTCAAAACGCAAATCCAATCAGGTTTGTCTCCTGATTTCACCCTTCAGAGAACCATCAGAATAAAGCCTAAAAACTTTGCTGGCTCCCACAGGGACCTGCAGGTGTGGCTCCACCAGGTTCTCCAGCCTCTTCCTGCCCTGAGGGCAACTCATTGGCTGCTGTCACTTTCCCAAATATGGCATCACATTTCTGGGTTTTCACATTTCCTGTGTGAAATGTGAAATTGCTGCCGGTTTAATGAAAATGTCTAGGTTTCTCTAATTTCTTTTTTACCCAAGACCCTCTGCTAATCCCCTAAGACCTGCCATGGCTAGGGTCTGGGTGATCACCTAGGGGAGCAAGAACATCTTGGCCCTTATGCTGTCCATGGTATGGTGCCCCCTCGCCCCCCATGCCACAGGAGTCACGTTATGTTTTAAGAGACAGGGTCTGGCTCTGTCACCCAGGCTAGAGCGCAGTGGTGTGATCATAGCTCACGGTAACCTCAAACTCCTGGACTCAAGCGATCCTCCTGCCTCAGCCTCCCAAAGTGCTAGGATTATCAGTGTGAACCACTGCACCTGGCTGGGATTCACATGTTTTAATTTGCCTTGTTTATAGGAAAACATTGGCTCCTGAATAAGGATTACTATACTGCAGAATGCGAGTTTCACAAAATGGCCCTAGGATTATTAAATTAAAATGTTGTCTAAAAGCACACACTGGTGGCCATGACTAACTTTGGACAAGTTTTTTCTCATGCAGAGAAGGCCTGGAAATTTATTCTAGGTCTGTGTCCAGAATGACGTGCTCCATGGCTTCTTTCTTACCTTCAGGGATCCTGTGGGAGCTAATGGGACAGGGTCCATATATGGCTTTGGGTTCCTTGCTGAGAGCTAGTGCATATGTAAATATCATATGCAGAAGTGTTTACTGGGAGCGTCTAACGTGATCATTCTAAGCATGTCATGTTGCTCAACAGTGTGGGACTTTTGAAATGGCCCGTTCAAATCCACGAGAAAAAGGTGGGGAAGGAAGGCAGCTCCTGGAGGGAGTGGAATCTGAGTTTGGAGGTCATCTGCCTATAAGGTAAAGTGTCATTAACCTGGGCTCCACAAAGCTTGTGGAAATAGAGAAAACCTTGAATTAGAGCCAGAGGTGAGCTTCCTGCGGGATGAGCGGTCCTTTAGCTGTATCCTCCTCAGAGCTTGGCTCAGCATGGAACATAAAGCAGCTGCCTAGCACAGAATGGCTATCTGTGTTTGGAACAGATACCAGCGAATGCAGCCTCTGCGATGATATCACCTGGGGCTTGTGAAAGAAACAGTGCTTGGCAGAGGTGGTTGCTCACCAGACCCGCTGGGCGTGTTTGGCCCTGTGTTATTCAGGGCTGGCCCCAGTGAGGGGAAGAGGCAGCCACCAAGGTGACCTAGTCTCCTCCATTCAGATATGTCTCTCCCCAAAGCCAAGAGTCCCATCTTTATAATTCAATTCCTTTGGGTTATTTCCCCCTTGTTCAAAGGTGAACACCTTGTCATGAATGGTGAATGGATTTTTTGCTTCCCCAGTAGGGCTTTTCATTGAGAACCACACCCTGCCAGATGAAGTACAGAAGTGAGTTTGTGGGAAGCACCTGGGTGGAAACACTCCTCTGGATTTCATCTGAGACCAATGAACGTGTTCCCAGAAGATTCCGGAAGCCAGAGGAAGAGGCAAGGAGGCATCTCACAGCCACTGAACACCAGCCAATGTGTAATTTGGGCTAAGGTTTGGCTAACTGTGGATAGGGCAAAGGAAATCATGTCTTACAAAGGGTATTGTCTGGCACCTGTAAGGTAAATTTACCCCGGGCTCAGTCACAGTTTGGAAGCCATAACTGTCACAACCAAAGGACAGCCAGGTCCAGGGCCAGGAGACAGGAACTCAAGTGAGAGCCGCTGGTGTTTCAGGGACCAAAGACTCAGACTGCTGGCTTGACCTGCCTTCAAGGTGCGACTGAGGGCAGACATGCTGGGAAGTCTCCCTACCTCCTGAACTCCTTTCCCTGCCTGCCCGCTGATGCCCGACATTCCTTTTAACAGGGAGCAGAGTCGGCATTACAGAGCTGGGGAGAAGCTTAAAATGACCATGGAAAGAGAAACTCAACTCTGAGAGAGGGGGGGGGGGGGGGGGGGGGAGAGAGAGAGAGAGAGAGAGAGAGAGAGAGAGAGAGAGAGAGAGAGAGAGAGAGAGAGAGAAAATAGTGTGTGTCTAAAATGGTATAATTTTGCTCAAGGCCATCCCAGTGAGGAAATCTGTTTTCTCCTCTCACGACAGCCACAGAATAATTTCAGAATAGCTTTAATGTTTCCTAGAACTAGGAAACAGGAAAAGAAAGCAAGCCTTCCTTCTAGGGAAGGATATGAAAGGGTGGGGTTTGTGAGGAGGGGTGCTCAGTTGCCTTGTTTGTTTTTGTTGAGACAGAGTCTCACTCACCGCCCTGGGTAGAGTGCAGTGGCGCCATTTCAACCTTGGACTCCAGGGCTCTAGGCCGTGGCTGCTTCTGCCTCAGCCTTCCAGGTAGCTGGGACTACAGGTGCGCACCCCAACGCCCAGGTGGTTTCCCCGCACCCCCCCCCCTTTGTCTTTTTGGTAGAGCGGGGGATCTCACTCTTGCTCAAGAGGGCAGGGTGGGGAGGGTCTTCACTCCTGAACTCCAGCAATCCTCCCTCCTGCCCCAGCCTCCCGGCGTGCTAGGATTACTGGCACCAGCCACTGCGCCCAGCCAGCGCGTTTCCTGCTCGGGAAATGTCTCAGGTCTCACGCCGCCCCGCTGAAGCGCGGTGCTGCCCTCTGCTGGCCACAGTGCGCTGTGGCGCATCCAGACGAGGCCGGCAGTCCTTCCCTGCCCCTGGGACTGGCCGGGGACTGGCCTCCGCACGTGAGGTGGCGCGGAATGCTCTTCCACCACCTCGCCTCCTCCGAAAACACCCCTTAGTGTCTTTTGGCTTTGAATTTAAACAGGAATATCTAGCTTCTCCAGCCTGTGCTTAGCAAATCAGGTCACCTTCACAGGAATGTGCAAAGAACAAGGGCTCCGAGTCCCACCCGCCCGATTGCGGCGTCTTGGCCCTCCCAATCCCTCCCCCAGAGGTTCTGGAACACGCTCGGGGCGGAGGCTGGTCATCGGGGGTTGGGGCCCATGGAGGGTCCCCATGTGCTTCTTGCTGTCTCCTGGCCCTACGCCATCTGTTGGCCAAAATCCCCTCGGAAGGTTTCTGCCACTCTGCTGGCGGGGCCCTGGCCCTGCGGGTCTCTCATCTGCCGCAGCTGCGGTCCCGCTAGTGCCAGTTTCTGTGCGGAGGTAGGAAAGAGGGACCCACGAGAGATTTGGAATTTAGTTATTAATATATTCGCATGACCAAGTAACGCGAGTTAAATGTTCTCAATTGCCTGGTGTTGTGTTTGAATATCTTAAAAAGCTGCCATGCATAGGGGCCTTTTTCATTCTTGTGAAACTGGAGTTCCACAAATTGACTCTGAAATCAAAGTGAAAACCCTCCTAGTGTTTTCTCTCTACTTCTTTAAAGTGTTTTACTCACATTCTTCTCTCGTTTCATTCAGAGGCCTTCCAAACCTCCCACAATGAAGTGTGGATGGATATTCACCAAGTCCTTCAGGACAAGAGGTGGAGCCTTAAGGGGATGTTCCGATGTGATTCTCCAGTGCTCAGTGGTGCTCGGTGTCCGGTTAGTCTTCACCTGGGGGAGACAAAGGAAACTGTTTCTAGATTTATGCACCTTTCTCAAAGGCACACTGGAAACCCTGAGACATGGGTCTAAGGGTTGACAAATATGAGCATGTCCAGTTTTTATTTTTATTTTTTTATTTTTATTTTTTTGAGACAGAGTCTCTTTGTTGCCCAGGCTAGAGTGAGTGCCGTGGCATCAGCCTAGCTCACAGCAACCTCAAACTCCTGGGTTCAAGCAATCCTTCTGCCTCAGCCTCCCGAATAGCTGGGACTACAGGCATGTGCCACCATGCCCGGCTAATTTTTTCTATATATATTAGTTGGCCAATTAATTTCTTTCTATTTATAGTAGAGATGGGGTCTCGCTCTTGCTCAGGCTGCTTTCGAACTCCTGACCTCAAGCAATCTGCCCACCTCGGCCTCCCAGAGTGCTAGGATTACAGGCGTGAGCCACCGCACCTATGTCCAGTTTTTAAAAGCAATTAAAATGCAAGTTGTTACCTGGGACACAAACCAGAACTCTAAGACCCTGAAGTGCTTTTTTTTTTATTTTTTTTTTATTTTTTGATAGCTGTAGAAGATGAACCTGAAGTGCTTTTTAGCACCTGGAGGGAGCTGAGGACGTGGCGGTGCTCCGAGTGTGCGGTTGCTCAAGGAGGACTCAGGCTTCCACTGATGTCTATTTCGGCAGGAAAGCCGCCTGCCTCTGCTAAAGCCAGCCTGAGCCCAGCCTCAGCCCTGGTGGGAAGTATTGGAAGAGAGTGGCGTCGCAGAGGACCTGAACTGTAAGAAGTTTGCATTGAAAGTTGTAGCCAAGGCCGATTTGCATACAAGGGAAGGCAACCAGTGCGGTTGCACGGGCCCCCTGCTCACAGGGCCCTGCGTTGGGGGTGTGAAGCTCTGTGGCTGCCGTCTTGGGATTCTTAATAATGTTATCTTTGCATTTATGTTTTATAAGTGAAGTCACAAGGAAGTGTGCACTAGGGGCTTGGAGCCTCGGCCCATGCATGGTCTGCCTCTCCTCTCTCCCTGCCCTCCACTGCACCCCGCTTCACCCCAACGATTCTCAGCTGCCTGTTTCCCCCCTCTATGGCTCCCAGGCCCAGCTGGCTTTCTGCTCCCTGGCCTTGCCTCACAACCGCTGCTGACTTCCACCTGCAGGGGGGCCTGGCTGTGGGCACAGGGAGCACTGCGGTTGAGGCCTGTGGCATTTTGGGGAGGGGCCTGGTGGCAGCCGTCCTTGCCCTGGGCTGGCAGTGCCACGGTGCCTTTGGTGAGCAACAGGAGGAACGGGCTTCTTGTCCATCCCTTATCCAGGTGCTGAGACTGTTGTGGAATGGAAATGTAATCTTTGGGGGGTCTCCCATCAGCCATGGGTTGGGGCTGCAGGCCTGTGGGAAGGGAAATTGACAACCTTGTCCCATCCTCACCCCTGAGCAGAGCAGGTGTCAGTCTGGTGGCGGCTGGAGGAGCAGTCCTGGCGCTGGTGGGCTGTGCGTGCACGTGCAGCCGGGGGCAGCCCACCCCACTCCACCCCAGTGCCCGCTTCAGTGCCTTATTGTAAGAATTGCCACAGCCACCCTAGTCTTCAGCAACCATCACCCGGTCAGTCAGCAGCAGCCAACACTGAGGCAAGAACCTCTGGCAGCAAAAAGATTACATCTCGCTGAGGGCTCGGATGATCTTTAGCATTTTTTAGCAATATTTAGCAATATTTTTTAGCAATTTCACAATTTTTAGCAATATTTAATTAAGGTATGTGTATTGTTTTTTCAGACATAATGCTATTTCACACTTAACAGTCTATAGTATAATGGCAACGTAACTTTGATATACGCTGAGAAACCAAAAAATTAGTGTGACTGGCTTTATTATGATAATCACTTTATTGAAGTGGTCTGGAACCGAACTCTGGTATCTCTGAGGTTTGCCTGTATTTATTTATTTTCTGTGTTTCCCTACTAGAAAGGACATTTCATAAGAATGCTCATTTTGTCTGTTTTGTTCACTCATATATTCTTACTATCTAGAACAATTCCTGGCACATAGTAGATGCTCAAAAAATGCATGTTGAATTAATAAAAGAACAGGTTCGACAGGTTCTTGTTTATTTCAGTTGAAGTCTCTCTGTATGGTTTGTGGCTGTTGAAAGTTGCTTCTCCCATCTGAGTCAGAGAGAATACCAGGATGTCTTGGGGGATCAGGCATCATTTCTATCTAATAATTAACTCAGTTTGCTACTTGAATTTTTGGATAGCAGTAAGGACTCACAGTCAGTATAACCCATGCATTTTGTGCTCTGGTTACTGTTCGCTCAGCTACTTAGGGCCGTGCTGGGAGATCAGAGTCACGTGTCTCCTTTCAGTGTCGGACATGGCATTTGGCTTGGTCTCACAGTCTAACATGGGCACAAGGGAAACAGTGAGAAAATGTGCATGCACCGAGAGAGGACAGATTGGAGCAAAGGCAGACGTTTGTTCACTTGTTCCCTCTTCCATAACTGCACAACAATCTCATGTTCCAACCGAGCAGTCAGGGAGCAAGGAGGCCTGTTTTCTGTTGTAGAAGGAGTTGAAAGTACATTCTGTTGTACAAGTCAGTTAACATCCGGAGCATGGCATCACAGATGGGCCATGGAAGGAAGGTGCTGCGTGCTTCGCAGGAGACTGGGGCTTTGTGGGAGCCAGGGCCTGCGGTGGGCCCAGCTGGACGGGTGGCGCTTTGGTTGTAAGGAGACTGCAGGAAGAACATTCTCAGTGGATAGAGCAGCGGGTCTTGCGAGTGAGGGGGTGGTGGGTCTAATGTGAAGAGGGCACCAGACAGAGGGAGGTAGGGGCCCCCACCAAGTGGGGGTTCAGGCAGTGGGAGAGGACTGGGAGATTTCCCAGTAGAAGAGGGAGATAAAGGTGCAGCTCTTGCAAGGTGCATGCAGCAGATACATCATTGAGTAGCACAGCGCAGGGGTTCAACACTTGACACCCACAAAAGGACTAAAGCGTCCACACACCCTCTAAATTTGTACGTGCAATTTTATATTA